GAGATGTTGAAAATGTCTGTGAAGACATCAGTGAGTTCCACTGCACAGTCTTTCAGTACATGTCCAGGAATGTTGTCAGGACCCGGAGCTTTGCGTGCATTGATCCTGCTGAGGGATCTCCTCACGCTGTCCAGGGACAGCGTCATCACCTGGTCGCCAGGAGGAGGTGGAGTCTTCTGTGCAGTGGTGCTGTTTTGTGCCTCAAAGCGAGCAAAGAAGGCATTCAGCTCGTTCAGCAGGGAGATGGTGCTGTCACAGGTCCGCGGTGGGGGCTTGTAGTCCATAATGGTCTGTATCCCCTGCCACAGGCTCCGAGTGTCTCTGCTGTCGCTGAAATAATGTGCCATCCTCCTGGAGTGCTGTCTTTTAGCCTCTCTGATGCCGCAGGATAGGTTGGCCCTAGCTGTCTTCAGGCCCATCTCATCTCCAGCTCTGAAGGCAGCGTTCCGAGCCTTCAGGAGTCTGTAGACCTCCCCTGTCACCCACGGCTTCTGATTGGCCCGGACAGTGATGGACTTTGAGACTGTTACATCATCAATACACTTGGTGATGTAGGCAGTGACAGTCTCTGAGTACTCTTGGAGGTCTGTGGAGTTATTGTATGTGGCAGCATGCTTAAACTTATTCCAGTCTGTGGTGTTAAAACAGTCTTGAAGAGCCTCTGACGACCCTTCCGGCCACACTTGTCTCTGTTTGTGAACTGGTTTGGTGACTTTAACAAGCGGTCTGTATGCAGGTATTAGCATGATAGTGATGTGGTCTGAGGCACTGAGGTGGGGGAGGGCCTTGTAAGCTCCTCTCTGGGTGGTGTAAACAAAGTCCAGAGTGTTGTTTCCCCATGTTGGAAAGTCTATGTGTTGGTGTATTTTTGGGAACACACTCTTTAAGTCTGCGTGGTTGAAATCCCCAGCTAAGATGAGAAAAGCATCTGGGTGGGCTGCCTGCTGCTCACTGATGTGCTGGTACAATTCATTTAGTGCCTCGCTCCTGTGCTGTTGTTGGGAGCTGGGAGGGATGTATACAGCAACGAGCAGTATGACTGTATATTCCCTCGGTAGATAGAATGGCCAGCACTTAATAATCATAAACTCTACCAGGGTTGAGCAGTGTTTGCAGACCACAACAGCATCGCGGCACCACGCATCATTGATGTAAACACAAAGCCCGCCGCCGTGGGTCTTACCTCCCTCGACGAGAACTCTGTCCGCTCGATAGCATGTCAGCTGATCGAGATGAATAGCGCAGTCTGGAATGCTGTTGTTGAGCCATGTTTCTGTGAACACAAAAGCACAACAGTCTCTTACAGTCATCTGAGTTGAGCGTAGTAGTCGGATGTAGTCCAGTTTATTATCCAAAGAGCATACGATGTACGATGGTGGGGATATCTGGCTTGTGTGGGTTAGCCGTTAGCCTAGCCCGGATACCTCCGCGCTTACCCCTCTTCTGCTTCCTCTCATGCCGCTTGTGGCGCCTCCGCTGTGGGTGAGATGCAGTAGTGGGGGTCGGTGATGGTGTTGGCCTCCGGAGCAGACATAGATTCCACAGCTCTTTGGCATGCGCAGAGTTTAACTCTAAAAATGTGGTTCTGCCGACATCGAGCAGAAACTCACGACTGTATGCGTGCTTAGAGACAGGTAGACGCGATGAAGACGCACGAAAACACTGCGACTCACAAGACAAAAAACACAAAAACACCGTTCTGACAGGAGAGAGAGAAGCCGCAGCATGTGCATGCGCCGTCATCTTAGACATAAGGAGCTCCCAGCACCGGGCCCTGAGACAAGAACCAAGGTTTCCTCCACATGTCTAAGGCACGTAGGCATCGCCGCGTGACCTTGATCATGCGAAGCGGGTTTCCCCTCAGGGAGAACCCCTTGGTCTTGAGCCACCACTGTAGGGGTCTCATGTACAGCAGGCCAAGACTTATCACGTTGGACGCAGCTGCCATCAGACCCAGCAGCTTTTGAAACTGTTTGACAGTGAGTGACCGGCCTTCTCTGACTTTCACGACTGCAGTGAGGATCGACTCGATCTGAGCAGGAGACAAACGTGCCTGCATCGTGGTCGAATCCCACACCATGCCCAGATAAGGGGTCCTCTGTAATGGAGAAAGCACACTTTTCTTGGCGTTTAGTCTTAATCCCAACTCTTTCATATGAGCGAGAACAACATCTCGATGCTGAAACGCCATCTGCGCTGATTGAGCTAAAATCAACCAATCGTCTATGTAATTGAGTATGTGGACGCCCTGGAGTCGCAGAGGAGCAAGAGCAGCATCCACACACTTTGTAAAAGTACGGGGTGAGAGTGCTAGGCCGAAGGGAAGGACCCGATATTGGTAAGCTTTGCCCCTGAAAGCAAACTTCAGGAACTTCCTGTGACTGGGAAGGATGGAGACATGGAAATAAAAATCTTTTAGATCTATTGTGACAAACCAGTCCTCACACCTGATCTGAGACACATCCTGTTTGACAGTGAGCATTTTGAACTTCAGACGCATGACTGAGTGGTTCAATAGCCGCAGATCTAAAATTGGACGCAAGCCTTCATCCTTCTTTGGAACAATGAAGTACCGGCTGTAGAACCCGGACTCCCTGTCGAGAGGAGGGACCACCTCGATGGCCTCCTTCCTCAAGAGAGTATTCACTTCTTGTTCTAATACCAGAGCCTGCTCTGGGCTCACTACTGTGAGAAAAACCCCTTTGAAAGGCGGCGGCGGAGCGCCGAACTGAATGCGATAGCCTCTTTCTACAGTTTGCAGGACCCAACGAGATACATTTGGCAATAGTTTCCACGCTGCTAAATAATCTACTAAGGGAACCAGTCTCTCGAGACTGGCCTCTGGTGTATTTGGAGCTGCTAGTTGGGTGCCCTGAAGCGGAGGACCGGCAGGAGACAGCAAAGCTAGCTGCTCGAGAGACCCCCGAAGTGGTGGCGAGGCTCTCAGCTCCGCTACATTCCCGGGCGGAAAATACTGAGAGAAACACTCGCTGGAGACCACTGAGCCCTGGAACACTGGCAGGGTTGGCAGAACGATTTCCTGAGGGCGCTGAGGAGAGACGGACACCGTGGAATGCGGTGCATGCAACCCGCTCTTCCCCAGTGGGGGCCGCCCTCAGCAGTCCTGGGCTTAAAATTGTTAGGACCGCTTCGTCGAGGGCTTCCTCGAGGGCTTCCTCGACTGAAGCACGACCCTCAGATCGGGACCCGGCTGGGGCTGCTCCCTCCCAGCAGCCCTCAGAGCTATAGAACGGCAAGGGAGAAACCGCTGGAATGCCGCCGCCTGTTTACGAGCCTCCTGGTATCTGTCGACGACGGAATTGACGGCGTCGCCGAACAGACCAGAAGGCGCAAGCGGGGCATCCATAAGGCAGACCCTGTCCTTTTCTTTCATATCGGACAGGGTCAACCATAAATGCCTCTCCGGAGAGCTAAATCAGCGATTCTCCTCAATTCTAAAATGCCATCTGCCTTGACTTGCTCGCCTTCATCAAGCTCTTTTAGCAGGTCGGCTTGGTACGCCTGTAACACTGACATAGTGTGCAGACACGCACCAGCCTGACCAGCTGCCGAGTACCCCTTGCCCACCAGCGCTGAAGTGGTTTGCAGCGGCTTGGAGGGCAAGACCGGAGCCTTCAGAGACGATGCCGCGCCGTGCGACAGATTGCTCGCAAGCGTCTGCTCTACCCGGGGGATCGCTCTGTAACTGCATTCACCCAGCCCCGCCACATTTCCATAGTAATCAGAGGCGGGGACGAATAAGCGGGCCGAGAATGGTTTCTTCCACGATCTCGACACCTCGGTGTGGAGATCGGGAAAAAACGGCAGGCTCCGGCATGGAGGTAGCGGCTTAGCACGCAGAAAGCGTACATCGAGTTTTCTCTTCTGCGGTTCAGCCTGTTTCTCTGTGGGCCACTCGATGTTCAGCTTGGCAACCGCACGAGTAACTACCTCCAATAGCTCCTCATACTGTGGGGATTGAGGGGGCGAATCCACACGCTTCCTCAGAGGAAGATAGGAGAAGTGCCGAGCCCGCTCTCTGGGGGGAAGAAACCGCAGAACGGGCTTCCGATCCCAGCGAGCAGGCAGTGGATCTGGCAGGTGAGGAAGAAGATAGGGACTTGCCCGTCTCCATTCCCTCCACCAGATCCAGCTGCGAACCCCACGAGTGCAGCTGCCGCTTTGCCTCGGCGGAAGCGGGGCCAGCACCGTGAGTAATGCTGGTGAAGGTTCCCTCCTCAAAGAGAGCCCTCCGGGAGCAAAGCAAACGCAGTGGCAACTGCTCACAACGTGGACAGTCGGCCCCCTCGAGAGCCGACGCTGTATGCTCCACTCCCAAGCAGACCACGCACAAACTGTGTGTATCCCCGCTCATGATGTAGCGTGGGCAGGGAGGAACACAGTCTATAACGCGATCTGCTTTCGCCCCTTGTTTGTCTTTGCTTTAGACATATTTTTTCTGCTGGAGCTTTATACTTTCTTTGCTGAATGCTTGTGTAACTTTTAGACAGACAACAATAAATAAGACTCACAGAACATAGATCGTGACCGACACACACAGAGAACTTTGCTGAATGACAGAAAGCTAACGCCGGCTGCACCTCACGTGCTTTTAAAGCTTCCTGGTCATGACGTCAACCGCCTCTGACGTCTCGTCCATCGATTGGACTGGTTACACATATGATTCAGAGCTTGGTATCGCTGAAGGCGTTCCCCTAGCATTTTCCGACGCAGCTCGAGTTCCCGCAAGGGAACTTGATTAGGTGTAGGACTAGTTTTCAGGGATAATCATTACCAGTTGGCACATTAATGAAAAGCACAACTATAACCTCTGTAACCATCTTATGTTACCCAAGTTGTCCGGTGTAGAAGTTCTCTGTTTGAATGAACTGCTACTAGAGAGCACAGATCAGAACTAACAAAATCCAGAAATCAAGACATATAGAGATGTAAACAGATGGCAGCTTGCACAGCATGCATGTGAGTTTCTGTAGAAGTACCATGTGCATGAGCTGGTCTCTTTCATGGGTGGTTCTTTCTGCAAGTGTGACAATGTTGGCAAGGTACTGATGAGCGATGAGCTCTTTCTCTAAAGAGTCTTCAACCTGTTGCTTCAGGACACTTATACGCTTCTGAGCTTTCCTAAGGAGGGAGAGACAGTGATAAGACATGAATGAGAACCTAAATTTCAAATCTTACACAAGTCAGTATTTATGTGAGTTTATAATAGAACATACTGGTCTGAAAACATGGTCTGAAATCACATTGAAAATCTGCCATTGAAAATCTAACTATAAGTTTCAGAATTTGGAAAAGTGTATAATGGGCAGAAAAGGACATCTAATTAAGATGAGATACATGTAAAATTCTGCATTTACTGTAAGCAAATTTGTGAAATTGACCATTTGAATGTCTTTATATGAATATTCAGCTTTCCTTGCTTCCTTAAATATACTCAGCTCACGAAGGGAAACATGGATCATCAGGTTTTGTACAAACCTGTGGAGTTTACCTGCTGTCATTAAAGGGATAGCTCACTCAAAAATGAAAATTCTGTCATTAATTACTCACCCTCATATCGTTCCAAACCCGTAAGATCTTTGTTCATCTTCGCAACACAAATTAAGGTATTCATTAACATAGACAGCCAGGATATTACCATGATAAACGCACAGAAAGGTAGGAAGGACATTGGTAAAATAGTCAACCGTAATCAACGTAATCAGCATTGTTTACGTTCAGCATGCGCATGCTTTCTACTGAACGTAAACAATGCTGATTATGTTGATTACATTCTGGGGTACTCTCCAAGATGGCGAAAGACGAGAGAACAATTGCTGAATAAATTATTAACTGTGACGTGACATGACATGTGGCCAAGTATGGTTACCCAAACTAGGAATTAGTGCTCTGCATTTAACCCATCCTTAGTGCACACACACAGCAGTGAACACACATACACAGTGAACACACACCCGGAGCAGTGGGCAGCCATTTATGCTGCGGCGCCCGGGATTATCATTATGTTATTATTGTTTTCTTTGTGCACAAAAAGTATTCTCGTAGCTTCGTAAAATTACGGTTGAACCCCTGATGTCACATGGACCATTTTACAGATGTCCTTGCAACGTTACGTGCGTTGATCATGGTAATATCCTTGCTGTCTATGCAGGGTCAGACAGCTCTCAGATTTCATCAAAAATATCTTAATTTGTGTTCCGAAGATGAACGAAGGTCTTACGGGTTTGGAACGACATGAGAGTGAGTAATTAATGACAGAATTGTAATTTTTGGGTCAACTGCAATAAAAAACATCAATTGACAGTAAATATATTTATAATGTTACCAAAGATTTCTAACTCAAAAAGATGCTGCTTTTTACTTTCTATTGGATTAAAACAATTCTGAAAAATCTATCACTGTTTCCACAAAAATATTAAACACCACAACCATTTTCAACATCAATAATAATAAGAAATGTGTATTACGCAGCAAATCAGCATGTGACACTGGATCATGTGACACTGAAAAAAATGACTGCAAAAAATTCAGCTTTGCCATCACAGAAATAAAATTACATTTGAAAATATATTAAAATAGAAACCAGTTATTTTAAATGTTAAAAATATTTCACAATATTACTGTTCTCTTGATCAAATAAATGCAGCCTTAAAAAATCTCACATCCTTTCCCCTACTAGGTGTAACATTAATGTCTGCCATTTAAATTTATTTCTAATTCTAGCCTTAATAAGTCACCAACTGAGTGGCCTAAATCTTTCAGCACGTAGTTCCCCTGCATCAGAGAACTGGTATTGGTTGTTTTCTTGATTTAGAGTTTCTTTCTCATCTCTCCTCTAACGCAGCGGCTGCTATTACACTTCCAGTCTGTTCTCCTTCTGTTTCTGCAGCCCTCTGGCCAAAATAATCTGTCTCTGCTTCTGTGGCCTATTACTCATCCTGATCTGCCTCCTCCCAGCTAAACATGCTCTTGCAGTCAGAAACATCAAACCCTAATATTGTCACTTTATAGAGTCTGCTAAAAGTCATGTTTCACTATATTTTCCTCAGCTTCACCCAGATTGACAAGAGCCAGAAAGTGTCTCATTTCAAATGCAGAGCTTTGGTATCAAATCAATGTTAGTTGATCTTAACCCATCCCCTACATTATCCAGAATAAACAGTCTGGCCCCAACTCAGCATACAGGGCTTTGAGAACATTGCAAAAATTGCCTCACTTCCATACACACTCCACATTAAAAGTGTCTTCTGTATGTTTGCATGTGTGTGTTCATATGTGCTTATATGTGCGCACCTGTTAGCTAGCTGTGAAAGCTGGAGCTCTGTTTCCATGTGCTTGATGTTTGTGTTAAGGTTGGTTTTGTCCAGCAGCAGAGTCTTTCTCTCCACCTCCAGCGCACTCACACGAGCCAACAGCTCTTCAACCTCACTATTCTTCACCCTCTCATGATCCTGCAGCTGTCTGAAACGCAAACAAATGCGCGACTGAGTGAAAAACTTATAGAAAGAAAAACTCAAGGTTAAAGCATTCACCTTTACAAATGGAGTAAACAGCATTGCTATTCCAAGGTGCTTTCAGTAATCTTTGTTTATGCTGTGCTGCCTGATATGGCATCTTGGAATAAACTGAAACCTACAAAAGTGTTCAGTTAAAGATGCATTTTGTGTGTCTAAAGCAACATAAACTGTCTGTATGTTTGAGTGTGTGTGAATGAATTAGTGCCCTTGTGTGTGATTAGTACATCTGTGCTTTTTTTTTCCATTTATTCTATATTTTCATTTGTCATCTCACTCACACAGACAGTGTGTAGGGTAAGAATGTGTAGGCTGTTTCTTTCGCAATTCACACTGTCAGGTAAAAAGGAAAAATGTGATTTCTCTCATCCTTCATCTTTCTCTAGTTCCAAAATTAATGAGATATCCTAGAAAAATTCAAATTTTTTAAATGTATATTCTGGTGCAACTGAAGTAAAATATTCCACACTACCTTCCCTCCCTTAATACTCACAGAAATCCTCTCGCTGCAAACCCTCTCATACTTCAGCAGCTCATCAATAGCAATGAATGTCTCTCCTTGATGCTTTTCTGTCTGTTCTTTATTCTGTCTTTTTTTTTAACTTCTGCCTTCCAGACTTGGACTAATCAATAAAGAAGTGAAAAGGTTTCTTTACTTTTTCCCAAGAAAACTCAAAAACCTCTCAAAACTCAAAATTTCTATTCCATTAGCATGAAATGCATATTTGGTACCTTTTGAGTTTGTCAGTCACAGCACTGTGTTCAGCCAAGCTCAGAGAGTGTTCTAGAGCCAAGTGCACTCTCTGAAACTCTGTCTTCAGGGCATGGTGCTCTTTACGCTCCACCTCTAGCTCTTTCTCCAGAGCCTGTTCCTCTGACTCCAACAACATCAGCTGTTTGGACACTTTACACACTACACACAAATAAAGAGCTGTTTTATATTCATAACTATATGAATAATAAGCATGAAGTATATGCTTAATGCAAACATTAAGGAACATGCTGAACAGATACTGTACAGGCAGAAGATATAGTACATGTATAGGAAGTCAGGATCTTTAAGAAAGATGAGATCTCCTAAATATCTCAAGCAATTCTTATCCTTAGTGCGATTCCAAGAACTGCATGCTCTGGAATGCATAACAATATATGATCTTGTTATATGATCTTGATTTTATGTGTCTTTTTTTTAGCATTTTACTATTAGTCAGTTGTACTATTTGAATATATTCATTCATAATTTAAATACTTTTAAGTCATCCTGTGGCCCTATTTACTGATGAGTGATAAAAACATTGACAATCAATCAAAATCCATCTTACTTCCAATGCTCACTGAGTTATGTTGACAGCAAACGTCATCGTCTGTTGGTGTCAACACTAAATATTATACTTATCATTCTTGATGTGAACAGCTCTTTAGTTGCTCCCCAAACACAATCCATTGGTTGACACATTGTTGCTTTTCTGGGCTGGCTAAAAAGCTCAAACAAACAGCATTGTTTGATGCATTTACACATTTCAGGGGGAAATAACTTACAAAAAGCTTAAAAGACCATTTAGTTGGGGTAGGAGCTTTCATATTTAAACTGATACTTAAGAAAAATTAAGAAATATGTTATGTCTCTTAAGCTACAAAAAACAAACTTCAGCAATCAAATATTTTTCTTTTCATAAAATAAATATCATAGTAGCCAGGGCCGCATTAAGACCTTACCTTACCTTACTAATAAAAAAAAATACTAGCCTATATAAAAACAAGCTTATACTTAAGACAAGTAAACAGACACAAATTACAAAAAAATAGACCTACTTGAAACACTTAAAGCACTGAATAAGAAAATATTTGATAAAATAATTGTACAAATAAACTGAATAGTCTTTTCACTGTATAAATTCAATATACATTCATTCTTATTTATTTACAAAAGTGATTCGGTCAAGGACAGTGAGTGATTTTCTTTCTAATGTTTGATTAACATTATTTACATCAATTTTAACAGCAGCTAAATTAGGCTGCTTTAGAGGAATAGCTCACCCAAAAATTAAATGTATGTTGTTGTTCTAAACCTGTATGAGTTTCCTTCTGCTGTTGAATGTAAAAGTATACATTTATATATATAAACATGATTATACCATCTAAGTAGCCTATGTCATTTTAATAGAACCGCATGTCTTTTTTAGTGATACAAGCTCAAAAACATTTATAACCTGTTGAAGTTTTTTATATTGTGCATTGACTTGGTGTCATGATGGATATTGAAATGTTATTTATTTTTCATTTAAAACAGTATAGATGATTACCTAATGCAATACAATATTTGTGAACACAACTGTGTCAGACCATAAATCCCCAAAAACTATGCATGGGGGCTTGCGTTGGTGTTGCCACCCCTCATAGACCCCATGCCACCCCTTTTCCACCCTAAAAATTATTTTCTAGATCCGCCCGTTAGGATCTCATATAGGCTACTACTACACTTGCTTTATATTTAACTAATAACATTAGTTTAAGAAACAAATTACTGTGTTGACGAGGACACATTTTGACACATAACTGTGCATGTGAACGTTTAAGCACAAGGCGTGAAAAATAACTCAAGTTTAGAATGGCGCTGTACGAGCAGGTGCGCACCGCGCGTATCAGGCCATAACCGCCTTAATGCGCGCATTTGCCAAAATTAATTCTGCCCCACTGCTTAATGTCCCTGAACAGTTAAATTAGTTTTTAAACCACAATGCTTAAAATGCGTTTTAATGAAAAGCTTAACCTACATAATGCTGCGCAAAACGATTGATATATTTCAATCAGTTTATCTCTCAACCCATAAGCGAATATACTTCGTTCAAACACAAAAAGCAATATACATCCATCAAGTTGTTAACTTGTTAATCAAACTAACCTAAAACCTGTGGGGATGATGACGCTGTGATTTTATCTGCTTCATGTGCCCGGTCCACTTGCTGTTTCACAACTTCCACTCTATCAGTTTTAGTAAAATAACCTGATAGCTGGGGATTTTACTGACTCACTAACTCATGTTTTCCTCTCTCTCCTAATTTTTTAGAATAGCCCCTCTCTCACTTTCTTTTTAGAATAGTTTACATTTTTACTTATCGAAGATTGTTCTTTGCATGACCATTTCCAGATTATGCCAGGCCCAGAACGAAGTGAAGAGAGGTGAATGCAGACATTGCAATCACCTGATTGATACGTGATGCACGGGTCGTTCAAAAGTAAATATAGAATAAATGCATTTGATTGGTAAACCAAATTCAAACGTGACGCTTTAATCTCTAAAGGTAATGCATGGAATATATGGGAAATATATGGGGCGGAGCTTTGGCAATCGGCGCTACCGATGACCAGTCAATCTACTCCACAGCCAATCACGGGCCACCTCCTTGTCCGGGCCCCGGGGCTTCAGCCCCACCTAGCCCAATGGTTAATGCGACCCTGATAGTAGCGCCTGTTTCTGAAATCCACAGCATTAATCTTGATCTGTTTTTGTTGTGTAACAGTCTTGATTAGCAACTGCTATCAGTTGAGACTAAATCTGCTTTCAGACTACACTACTCAAAAGCCAGACTAGATGTTTTGTATGGCTCTTAGGGGGCACGAAAAAAATCAAGAGCATTAAGAGGTATGAGGTGTGATTGTGTGTACCATACCCTCCTGTGTATGTTTGCTGTGGGTTTCTTTAGATTTGGCATGCTGTAATTCCAACTGCTCTATCAATACTTGATTCTCCTCCAGCACCAAGCGAGCCTGCTCCTGCAAGTGCCTCCTACACACACACACACACACACACACCTGTGTGAGTGTTTGAATGAACAGTGAGGCTGGCAAGAGGGATGAGAGTTCTTTCACTGATGAAGAAGACGAGCTGACTGTGAACAGCTGGCAATTAATGCAAAGACAGAAACTAGAACCTCTCTAGGACATACAAATTAATTACAGTTATCACAAACTACCTTCCTGAATTCTAAGCTTTGGGTTAAATCACACACACACACACTGTTCAGCTCAATGACAGGTTTAAATTCAGAAATTCAGAGAAAGGGAAAAAGTATTTCTGAGGGAGTTGTGCGATGCTGTCTGAATGCAAGCCTGCAGTCTAGTTTAAGCAGATTAAATGATTACAGTTTAAGCAGACTAAATGTATACAGAAGTCCAGCATAAGTAACTAAAGTGAAGTCTGTCATTTCACCAGAAGATTGAATTATGAATTTGATTAAACATTACAAGTTTAAAAAAAAAATGTATGGATGAATTGTTTACAATATGATCACTAACATATATTTAGAAAACAGATTATTATGTCAGATTATTTCATGACTTTAACATTAAATAAGAGAGAGGAAACCTAAATGACTATAATACAATTGAACACAACTGAACAATTCTGGTAATAACAGAGTGCATCTGCAAGAGCCGTTAATGGAATATAGTTCAGATCTGGCATTTTTTCCTTTGTTTTGAACAGTGAAAATGGCATATGTTCTTATTCGGTTTGTATTGAAACATCCTCACTCATATACTCATAACTTCAGCCCCATGACCGTCAGCCATAACCAAACAGGCTATTAATCCTGTGATAAGAGCATGGCTAGCAGAGTGAGGCATGCCTCAAGGACAAGATGCCGTGTTTTTGTTATTGCCCTCAGGACTATCGCAATCCCCTGGACATTTTTCCTTTTTTCCCTAATTTCTGTGAAACAAAATTCTCGGAGGGAATTTCAGTGTAAGTGCACTGTGATTTCTTTCCAGGCACACAAAAAAGTGTGTACACTTTTACATTGCACAGAAACACACTCATAACTCACCATTCTTTGTTGCCAACAGTGCTGCTTTTGTTGACCTGAGCATGAAGTTTCTCATTTTCCTGAATTACCTCCTCTGTACGTGCTCTCAGTCTCTGTAGTTCTTCCTGTCAGAAGAGACATAGTCTATGTTTATTTTGCCATGGAAAAAACACCATAAACTGCTAAAATACTTTAAGTAAGTTTATTGGTATGCATGAACGTCCTCTGGTGCATCTGTAAATGCATTCATCTCAGCCAGAGATCATCTGAAACTTCAACATAGGTGCACAAAGTGAAAACGTCACCTCAGCTCTCTCCAAACCAATGCTTAGCAATCTCTCAAAATAACACCTTGACACAGGAATGAATCTCTTTAATCTTATCTTTCAGAAATTTCCAGAAGAATCTGGGACATTTTTAAAGTATAAGTTGCTTAGTGTTTTTGTGTGTGTGTGTGTGTGTGTGTGTGTGTGTGTGTGTGTGTGTGTGTGTAAAAACTGATTTGTGCTTAGCAAATTCAGAGGGCAAACTGTTCTAATGCTGTCCTGAAGGTGGAAATATTCTGCAATTAAATCTGCTGCATCATTAACAAAAGAACAGCATTTATTTGAATTGAATTGATTAGTTTAATTCATCATTGCTGAACAGAAGTATTCATTTGTCCAAAAATAAAAATTTACTGACCCCAAACTTTTGAATGTTGGTGTACTACACTATTCTAAGTGTAAACACACAAACACAAATATAACCATATGAAATATCATCAAACCAATCCTCTTTTGAGCTGTTTTATGCATAAATAACATACATGTGCACTGTACAGTACAGTATTTGTCTTTGATATATTTATCACAAATATAACTGATGAATGTGATTATTCAACACTTGACTACAGAGAGAGGGTGGTACAATTAATTGTCTGTCCCTTTAAAATATAACACATGACTCTGAATGGAAAGATCTTTAAATTCAAGGCAGGTAAGTCTGGTGGGAGTGTTGGCTGCAAGGCAAGTTTGTTAGAAAGAGAGAGACAGAGATTAAGTGAAAATGAGAAATGTGTGTGATAGAGAGAGAGAGAGAGAGAGAAAGAGAAAGAGAAAGAGAGACACTCAAAGACAGAAAACCAGACTATTAGAGAGAGATTATTACATAGATCCTATGATTAGTGTGGCTAAATCAGTTTTCTCTCCATGAACTTCATTCTTATATTCTCATTTTAATCTCTCATTGGTACTTTGCATATTAATACAATACACTCCAGCATTTGACAAGCTGCTCAATATAAATTATAAAATAGATGAGTTTACACATTATATCCAATAGAAATCGATCACTAAAGTGATACATTTCTACCTTTCCAGTATCAGATTTTTCTAAACTCCCAAAACAAATGTCACAGATCAAAGCTGTTATTTAAAACACAATTTTGAATGCCCCAAAAAATGAATTCTTGCATATAAACACAAAATATGTAATAAGAGTAAACTGACTCAAATGTTCCCCTTCTCACACAGGCACAAACAAACTCACCTCACAAGACTTGAGGAGTTTGTCTTTGACATTCAGCTGGTCCTCATAGGCCAGCAGCAGGGGTGATAAATATTTCATATCCAGCTAAAGGCAATTTAGAGTACAACCATAGCATTAAACAAAAACAAATAAAAATCTTTTCTGCATTTCTCTTCTGTCCATCAACAACAAGCTGTGAAATAATCTGACAAGAGTAAGGACATTGTCTGTCTTTGTTAAATAATACGCATTAGCACATAATAACACTTATAATTAATGAGATGTCCTCATAACAACCTTGTGAATGAATCATCTTAGGATAAGTAACCAATTATAATAATTAGGAAGAGACAGTATGGAAATGTGAGACTTAGCCTAAATGAACAAACACACAATGAAAGCTAAAGAATATCATAAATTCACATACCAGCCAAGGAGGCGCAGGTCCTTTCACTGGCAGGCCTTTAATCTGAGCATTCTGGGAAATTTAGGACAAGAAATGCATTTGAGCCTACATATTATTTCACAGCCTTTATCCTATATAGATATTGTGATGTGACAAAAGAAGTAAAGGTACTGTAATTACACTGAAACATAATTACAGAACAGTGCCAGTTCTTTTAGACAGACAGCTGAAAAAGGATGAGACAGAGACTCGTGTAAAATTCTCACAGTAGTACGCAGAGCAGTGAAAAGAAAAAGAAAAATACACAAAATATGGGAGACACAAGCACAACAGTCAATCTAGCACGTTTAATAGAAAAACAGTGGAGGAGCAGCACAGACGAACACAAAAATGTATTCTGTGTGAACGACTCTTTAGAGTAAAGTTTAAGGGAATGTACCAAAAGGAGCCGTGTAGTATGTGGTCACTGCGATTAGCGGTAATACTGGATTGAAAATCTGTGACATGATGGGACTGAGTCTAACAGCAATGCGAGAGCGTGTTTTAGTGGGTGTGTGGATATGTGCATTAAAGGCAATGAGAGATGAGTCTCTTTCAGGCGTTGATGCAAGAGGGCAATTCAGAACTCACAAGTGACATGAGCCAATGGCCCCCTCAGGACAGACACACACATACATAGCTCAAAGCTGATGTAGCTCAGAGGTTGCTTTAGGACAAGCTGCCATTGTGAGTTTAAAAGATTTTGTGAGCGCGACGTGGTCTGAAACCGTCGCTCTTCCTTCAAAACATTATATTATGGAATATACTACTGACATTATTTTATATTTAAAGCTGAAGTGTGATATGGTTTCAAACATTAAAGAGGTTTGATACAGGTAAGTGACCTCTCTCATACATATGAAAACCTAATTGGGAATGACTTCTATGTCAATTTACAATACATCGGGGGAGATGGCAAGTTACAGACAGACTTTGTAGGTGCATTTCCTGTAAAACAATGTAACTTGTAACTTAACTACAATAGTACGATGCATTAGAGAAATTAAGTAGCTAGTCACAACTGTTTCCCGAAACCGTAGTAACTTCATTGGCATATCTGTCACTTGAACTGCATTGTTTCATTTAATGACATCACGCAGGTGGTGGAGTAAAAACTTCTGCTAATTAATTGCCTCGAGATCGATTTAATGTTAGATTACTGTTGTAAATAACATACATGGCATCTGAGGATGACTTTGCTATTTTACTTCTCTGTTGTTTTCCTATATTCTTATGTTTGATTAAATCGCAGGATCCCTCTTACGTCACGGTTCCCCAAATGTTCAATTAGAAGTATGGTTTCGGGAAATACTAAATCACTGATCTATGTTGGTTACGATGGATCTTGTTGGCTAGCCGTTCTGGGCACACCAGAGATCTCGAGAGACTGATTCCCTTAGTAGATTATTTAGCAACATGGAAGCTACTGCCAAATGTATCTCAATGGGTCCTGCGTACTGTAGAAAGAGGCTACGGAATCCAGTTCGGTTCTCGTCCGCCTCGATTCAACGGGGTCACCCCCACGCTAGTGGGTCCCGAGCAGGCTCTGGTATTAGAACAAGAAGTAGTTACTCTCTTAAGGAAGGAGGCCATCGAGGTGGTCCCTCCGCATGAGACAGACTCCGGGTTCTACAGCCGGTACTTCATTGTTCCGAAGAAGGATGGGGGGTTGTGTCCTATTTTAGATCTGCGCCTATTGAACCGCTCAGTCATGCGACTGAAGTTCAGAATGCTCACACTCAAACAAGTCGTGTCTCAGATCAGGTCCGAGGACTGGTTTGTCACGATCAATTAGAAAGACGCATATTTCCATATCTCCATCTTTCCTCATCACAGGAAGTTCCTGAGGTTCGTTTTTGGGGGCAAAAGCCTACCGATACTGGTTCTTCCTTAGGCCTTGCACTCTCACCCCACACTTTCACGACTCAAAAAAGCCACATCGACGATGGGTTGATATTAGCTCAGTCAGAGCGGATGGCGGTTCGACATCGAGATTTCGTTCTCGCTCACACGAAAGAGCTGGGGTTAAGACGTAACGCCAAGAAAAGTGTGCTTTCTCCAGTACAGAGAACCACTTATCTGGGCGTGGTGTGTGATTCGACCACGATGCAGGCATGTATGTCTCCTGCTCGGATCAAGTTGATCCTCACCTCAGTCGCGAGAGTAAGAGAAGGCCGGTCACTCACTGTCAAGCAGTTCCAGACTGCTTGGGCTGATGACAGCTGCGTCCAACGTGATAACTCTTGGCCTGCTGTACATGAGACCCCTACAGTGGTGGCACAAGAAAGAGGGGTTCTCCCCGAGGGGAAACCCGCTTCGCATGCTCAAGGTCACGCGGAGGTGCCTACGTGCCTTAAGACATGTGGAGGAAACCTTGGTTCTTGTCTTGGGGCCCGGTGCTGGGAGCTCCTTGTCGCCGCGTATGCTAGCGACGGATGCATCCCTCACCGGTTGAGGTGCGGTCATGAGTGGCCACCCTGCCCGCGGTCTGTGGAGTGGTCGCCATCTGACGTGACATTCTCGAGTTGTTTCGAGTTCTCCCAGACCTAAGAGGTCACCATATGTTGGTAACAACGCAACGGAGGTCTCTTACATCAACCACCAGGGAGTTCTGCGTTCGCGCCCCTTGTACAAGCTGGCGCAGGAGCAGACATCCTGTCGAGGCAGGGGCTGAGGCCCGGGGAATGGATGCTTCACCCCGAGGTGGTGAAGCAGATATGGAGAGTGCTTGGCCAGGCTCAGGTGGAACTGTTGCGACTCATATGATATCACACTGTCCCCTCTGGTACTCTCTGACTCATCCAGCTCCACTACTCCGCTTCGTCTGTACGCCTTTCCTCCGATTTTCTGCTCCCGGGAGTTCTGGAGAGAGTGCGCCGGGACAGGGCCCGTCTGTTGTTAGTATCCC